AAAAAAAAAAAAAAAAAAATCCAATGTCTGCATGCAGAGACTTGAAAATTTATCTTGCAGGGTCAAATAATGTGAAATTGTTTATTGGTTTTACAGAGAAGTGATCTTAAAATAGTTGATACCTTTCTTGTCGTGTCTTGCTTTTCTATAATTAATTGTATGGCAATATGTTCTGTGTTTTTACTTCATATAACACCTAGAATTTAAGAATTGCATGGATCTCTTGCTTGCTTCAATCTGATTTCTGCCTCTCCTTTCCCTTTTTCTCGTGGTCTAGACTCCCAACACATTATTCTTTTTTTGGATTGTTTTGGCAAACTGTGTTTTCATTTATTTGTGGCCAATTATAGGATTATGTTTCAAAATCAAATGTATTCTTTTTAGCCACTTTCCATTCCGGTTATGTTTAGCTTATTGTTTATATGGCTTCTTGTTTATACTTTACACTAACTGATCAAGAAGTTATTTATTCTTTTTCATTTGGGATTCTTGCAGAATGAGTGCCGTTGCATATCTTGCTAGTTATTTGTCTCGCGCAAAGTTTGTGGCTCCCTCCTTCGTTGCTACTACACTGGAAAGGTTGTTAATTATCCGATTTGCTTAAGGATGAAGGAAAACCACTAAGAATTGAATTTAAATATGTGACAAAGTATTTTTATCTTTTGTGCGAGGTTCCAGTTTGGTGAAGTGGTGTTTTGAGTACTGCAATAACCAGGACGGTGACATTAATCCCAAAGCTCATAAAGTCTTCTATGCTGGTTGCCAGGTATATAAAGCCTTGATGTGTAGTCTAACTTTAGAGGACTCTCAATTTTTTGAATCATTCCTGAATCCTGGCATCGTTTAAAGGTTATTTACTTTCAGCAGTTATAATTCTTACACGTATTTTTCACCAAGGCTTCACTTCCTGCAATGGTATTGAGTACTTTCGGAGGCAGAATAAGTGGTCATTTGTGGTGTCCTATGTCCATAAGTTTGTGGGCATAGTCTTGCCTAATGGGAACATGTTACCTGCACTATTTGCAGTATACTACTCATTAATATCCATCAGTTCATATTGGGCATGTTTGTGGTGGCTTATGCTTAAAAATAAGCCCCAATGTGTGGCTTATTTTTAATATGGACCCACCTACAATGAAATAATCCACAAATTTGCAGCTTATTTTTTAGCATAAGCCACCCCAAACATGCTAATTATGTATAGATTTATAATTTTCTGGATTAAGGGCCAAAGCAGTCAAGCGTTTATGTTTAGCCTTAAATGACAAGTGAAGCTTTTTTTAATGACTTGTTTGGGTTTCATTATAATCTTCTTATAATGCGGACTCAAAGTCGGATATTGAATATAAACCATGCACTTGCAACTACTACCCACTTGTTATGTACACATTTCATGGGACTCATTACTCCTCTTCATTATATTCCCTCATAATGAACCCAAAACAAGCACTTTATTGGCTAAATGTATAATTTTGTTCCAAATATCCAACAAATTTTCTAGAATTTTGTTCGTTAATGATTTTTTTTTGTTGCAGTGCAGGCCATTATGTATGTGCTTTGCTTTCGCATGAAATCAATAATTTCTGTGCCTCGCCTCAGATCACAACTTCTCCTTATGCGAATTGAGGACATCCTTAGGCATCCTTTGAAACCATTACAGGTGAAATATTGTATTAAGTAGGAGTTTTGTCAAGTTTAGCCAGTAGTTGTCTATGGGTCGGTCCTCTGTTTTTGAGTGCATATATTGATGGTTGCTCCTGGTGGTTTTTGTACGTCTTCGTAATTCCATTTTCGTATATGGCCTGATGGATGTGTATCGATTACTGTAGTAGATTTGTTAACTTCGGTCTTCCATTGCTACAATTTTCTGGAGCAGGTATGCCTGCCATCGATAGTAGAAGAATTTCTCCAGTTGGCAAAAACAAATGGAATATTTGCTGTGCCGGACACCTTTGCAGATTATGGTATGCTAGAATCAGAACTTTCGCGGGCATTTGGTGGGATAGAAAGGCTCGACATGTTTTTCCCATTTGATCCCTGCTTATTAAGGAAATCTGACAGGTTTGTCTTTGCTTTATTTATACTTCCCCAAGTCTGTAGATGCCTATTTTATTTTCCAATTTGAATATCATTATTTGTCAAATTGAGAAGTCTATTCTAAGATTAAAATGGCTAGTTTTTAGCTTTACTGGATAACTAACTTGTGCATTTGTTTCTTACTGTTCTGAAGATTCATCCGACCAAATTTTGTGTACTGGTCAATGGTAAGAAGTAGTTATTATGAAGACGAGGAGGATGAAAGTGCAAGCGATGAAGATATTGCCGAGGCTGGGATCAACATGGCAGATGATGATGAGGGCAATGCTCATTTTGATGAATTCGACTACTCTCTAGACAAAATGTCAATAACGCCTAGAGATTCAAGTGCAAAATTCGGAGGCAGACTACATGGATTTGTCCAGATGCCATCGAAAATCAGACCCTCTACTAGTCCCGAGTCCTTGTGATTTGAAGGTTCTTTTCCTCCTTCAAAAGGGAGGAAAACATTTTTAATTTTTTTGTCCTAGGTTTAATCAGCCAGTTTTGTTTGATGGTTTATTTGTCTCTATAAAAGATGATATAGGATGGCAAAAACACGAGGAGGCTGCTTGTGGGGTACGCAGCATTTTACGTTCAAATGTAATCTTATTAATTCTTTCTGTTGTAAGAAATCGATTAAGCATTTGTGAAAATACTTGTTATTATGTATTTAATGAGTAAATGTTCGGTGAAGTTTTTGTATATAGAATGTGCAAAGCCAAACTGACTTGAGATAAATTAAAGACACCAAGAATCCCCAATGTATGTCAAAAACAAGAAAGTACAGTCTGTGAAGCTAATAGCAAAGCGACCTGAATCTGGGCATGACAAGTAGCAGTCTAGACCGATGGCACGACAAAATCCAACACCAAGGTGCCGTCGAGAAATTCCTTCTGCTCATTCGCCAGCCCCGATTCCAAATCCAAATCTTCCAAATCAGTCATTCCCGCGAAAACTGCGATTGAACCAATTGAAAAACCCTTGTCCCTTCCTGGGGAGAAGTTCTCACCAACAGTCAATTGCTTAATTGATGGAAACTGCTCTTTAATCCTCTTCACCATTCCCAGTATCTCGTTTTTACCACTTTCTTCAACGCCTTCCTTCAGTTTCAAAAACGTGACCCGCATCGCCGATCCGGTAGGGACGATAATTGAACCAGTGACGTCATCAGACAACCAATCGACGGCCATGATGTCGTCGACTATTGCCCTGCCGTAGCTCGTCACGACCCTAATGTGGGCCGGGTGGTCGGCGTAGGATCTCAAGTCGGTTTTGTTTCTGTAACGGGAGTGGAGCATGTGGGTGAAATAGAGAGGGGAGGATCGAGTGCGGGCGATTGGACCGGCCTTGAGGTGGAGCACCGGATCGAGGGAGTTCAATCCGTTGAGGTTGCTGAACATGGCGTTGACTGCAGGAGGGTCAGCATCGGGCTTCACTTTGAAGAGCACAACGTGTTCTACGAATTGACTGTGATTGGGATTTGGATCGGAATTGGGTGATGGCAGCATTTTAATGGTATTCGAAGAGTTTGTAATAAAAGGGCTTGAGAGTGGCGGCGGAGAGAGAGGAGGAGGAGTGGGTGCGAGCTGCAGCTGCCCTGGTGCCGGCACACTATTGTTTGGTAGTGGTTGACTCTAACCCAAAATTGGGAAATTGAAAGGGAAAATAGCAGTGTCATCCCCAGGATATTGTCTATGTTTCATTTTCGTCCCTAACGTTTTAATCCCGTCCAATGGATACAATACAATTGAGAGTTTTTCAAATATTACCATCGGACATGAAGATCAAATCTTTGAAATTATTTTACAATTGTATGTGTCGCAATATCATATCGAATTTTGTATAGAGGCACGAGTAAAGTTCCCGTAAACGATTTTATCATTCTGATTACTCTATAGTTGAAGAATGAAAAGGACCTCAAAGAATAGATTGAGGTACTGAAATCTGTATGAAAAGTTTTGTGAACAAACAGTAAAAAGGTTGATGATGTGCATGAAATGCTTTGATTAGGAGTCTAAAGATAGAAACCGAAGTCGAGATGAAGCACTTTCTCATTGAATTATCATACAAGAGTCAAATTATCTTCGCAAAGAAGAATTAAGAATCAAAACTTTCATCGTTCACAAAGATTTTGTTGTTTGAAGGTTGTGAATAGCTTAATCAACAAAAATCAAACTAAAAAAAATGTAAAACATATCTACATTATTCCACAAAAAACATATAACAAAAGAGGACAAGTTATCCGGCATGGCTGTGTTTTTTGGAATAAATTGTGCCCAGTTTATTTGATTTTGATATCGTATGAAAAGAAAAGGAGTACTGTTATCTATCTAAATTGACAATGTTGACCATCAACAACCTTGATGAATGACAAAAATTTGATTGTCATCTTACATATGACACACCCTTGGTGACTGGGGAGACTAGAAGAGTCCGTCGACTCTTTTTGGTTCATGAATCTAAGAAATAGTGAGAATTTTTTCTCTCTCAATTCGAAAATTCATTAAAATCATCGTTGTACTCTTACCGTGACGTTAATATTCAGCAAATTGTTGCCTATGCATAATCAATAACTAGTCAATATGTCACGTTCTCATCAAGGAAATTAGACCATCATCCGTGCAAGTAGTAGGAGAGTTCTCACCATGTAACTAAATTGGAGCAAGTACAAACTTACAAATTCCGCTGCTTGTATACCGGTTCGATTTGTTTTATTTTTATATATTTATTATCAACCGCTTGGATTCAATCATGTCAAAAATTTAAGATATTGAATCAAAATCATGTTAAAAATTAAAGAATTAATTGACATGCCAAATATAAAATATAGAGTTATTCGGGGAATTAAAACTAAGTCAAAAATCAGGGAATTAAGTGACACCCTAAAAATTAGAGATTTATTTACACAATTAAAAGTATGTAAAAATAAAATAAAATAAAATTAGGAATTAACAGACATGCCAATAATTTGTTTACGAGATTAAAATCGTGTCAAAAATTAAAAATTAATTGGAATTAGAAGGGGACTAATTAATGTCCCCGGAAATCGTGCGAACAAACTACAAGGAAAAATTGCAAATTATTCGGAATCAAAACTATGATTTAGTCGCAATTTAAATATGTATGTTAGAACGATATTGTACCACGGCAAATTATTTATGTTTTGAACTTGTTAGCTCATCAAGGCACCCGGACGGTCTACACCGATTTGATGCATTTGAACTCACTACTTTTTTTAAAACTATTGTCAACCTCCGATTCACATGTTGATAGAACATGTAATTTGACAAATTGGATTATGGAAATCAAAATACGGATGCATTTGAAGACAATAATAAAGCATTTTAATTTGTCACAAGCTCGATACCTTTTTCCAAATCTTAATAATGAAGAAAATTTAGTTGCATCATAATGTTTTGGGTAAATTCTATTTAGGGTTCCTCTCATGTAAGTGTAACATTCGCATTCTTTTGCGCTCGTGTTGTTTACATTTAAAAAATCGAGGAACCCATATTCTCACACAACAAAAAGACACTTTGAACATCAAAATGCCATTTGACACTCTTCTTATTCTTGATTTTTTTTTTTTTTTTTTCATTCCAAAACAATCAAACCACCTCAACTTTCATTAAAAAATCGATTAAGGTAAAATCCCCCAATGGTCATTGATCTTGATGCTACCAAAAATCGCACCTGTTGACTTCTGAGCTTGACGATTGAGAATGAGCACGAACGAGGTCTTCCGGTACCTGAAACAAAGGCGTCGAGATTTGTCCTTATCGCCTCTCCGATACTTAAGTCAGAGAGGGAATTTGTAAAAAGATATATATTGAGAATGATGTAAAAAACGTACTTTAATAATGAGTTATGATGATGTATTTATAGATGTTGGTGGCACAGTCCTAGTAGGATCACAATGTTGAGATCCCTAAGAGTTCTAACATGATTAGAAGTTTTTACATGATTGGCTTCATTTTATCCACGTGTTTGGATAGAAGTGGAATTCTGGCTATAGAATCCTTTTAGGATGAGATAACATCCCAATACTAGGACTTTCTATCTTTTCGGAGAAAAAGTATTACCTGAAAAATAGGTGCATCGATGAGGTCATATGTCCTTTCAGTCAAAGTGGAGACTTCGTGCTCGAGCACCATGCTTGAGCTTTTGACAAGTTTGGTATCATTAGAGGCCCCTGTGCATCCATGTCGGAGCCTCGTGCTTCGAGATCCCGGGATGTGATGCATAGAATATACTTCGAGAACATCAAGCATTGGGGATGGAGGTAAGACACCTGCATGAGACTGGCCAATCTCCAGGCTGGGATGTACAGCCTTTGCATTGGACTGCTCAGCTTTTTAGGCTGGACTGTGCAAACTTTGAAATAGACTACTCAGCCCTTAAGGTTGGATTGCTTAGCCATCTAGGTTGGCATGTGCAGGTTTTGCAGTGGGCTGGTCAGCCTTCCAGGTTGGGTTGTGCAGGTTTTGCATTAGGCTGCTCAGCCTTTGCTTTGTGCTGCTTAGCCTTTGCTTTGTGTTGCTCAGCGTTTAAGGATGTGCTGCCCAGCTTTTGCATTGGGCTGTTCAGCTTTTAAGGATGTGCTGCTAAGCCTTTGTTTTGGGCATCTCAGCTTTTGCAGTGGGCAATTCAGGCTTTAAGGATGTGCTACTCAGCCTTTGCATTGGGCTACACAGCCTTTAAGGATGGGATGCTCAACTTTTGCACTGGGCTGCTCAGCCTTTTCATTGGGGCTGCTCAGCCTTTCAGGTGGAGCTGTGCAGGCTTTGCTGTGGGGGTGTGACACATGGCCTCGATAGTCGAGCCTCGTGGATGATTGCCACATGGCAGGATGGAGGGCTAGGATTTGGGAGACCTTTTGTCTTCTTCAGAGCCTATAAATACCCCCATGCCCCACCTCATTTGTCACTTTTCATTTCCTCAAAAACTCCTTGGACAATCTCGGGCTTTCAGTTCACCTAAGGTGAGACCTCGACCCTTTTAGATAGCTTTAAGCTTCCTTCCTCTTAGTTATGTCTTCTGCTAGTTCTTTATCCTCGGGTTCAACACCCGAGGATGCTGGTCATTCCATAGTACCCATGGCCGTTCCTTTAGACACTAGGCCGGTCCTCACCTATCTCGAGCTTATAGGTCGATATAAAGATCGTGAGGTTATTCAAGTAGCAAGGGAATTTGGGATAATGCTAGGGTGTGACGTTAGGACTCCCAGGCTCGACGATAGCATTCTTAGTGTTCGGGATGGGGAGTTTGTGGTTTTTAGGGGGGAATGAGATGGCCTCTTCATCTCCTTTTTATAGAGTTTTTGGTCGAGCACTATATGTGCCCCGGTCAGCTCGTCCCTAATGCATGGAGGGCGCTAATTTACTTTTTTATAGCTTGTAGGTATTTAGGCATAGCCCCCCGACTCGACCTCGTTAGGTTAGTTTTAGAGCTTAAGTCGTTGCCGAGCTACAATTGTTTTGTCTATATGTCGACTCGAGGACGATTTAGGATCCTTAAGATGTCGAGCTCCCTCAAGGAGTGGAAGCAAAAATATTTCTTCGTCCTACCACAGGATCCCGATCACCCTTTTGGTCCTCGGTGGACCATCCTAGATGCTGCCTGATTTAACGAGGGACAAGACTATTTTGATGTCTTAGAAAGAGATAGGCAAAGTTTGGAGGACCTCGAGCCATTATGTCAGACCTTGATGACTTGCTCGGGGATGACATTCTCGATCTTGCGAACGTGAAAGGACTTGAGGGTAGGGCCAAACGTCTCGATCTTTCGTTTATGGTTATTTCGATCTCGATCTCTCATCGAGCTAATGTCTTGTTGTTTTTTGCAGAAGATATTCCTTTTGATCCTCATACATTGCGTTTGGCGACGAGCCAAAATTCAAAGATATCCCAGACAAAAGCCCCGGGGCAGAAGAAATGGAAAAAACGCCCTAGAGAGTCCGTTCCCAAGGTTAGGGGGCCTGGCGAACCCTATTCTCAACAATCTCGAGCTCAAGTGGTCGAGTCCAGTCCTTTTACCCCGGTCACTGTAGCCAAGGCACCTGCCGTGGTAGTCGACCTCGATGACGACGTCACAGACTCACAGGTGATGCTCATCCAGGTCAGGGAGAAAGTTGCAACCTCGTACCCGACCTTGTTGATAAGTTTAAAGGGTCAGAGCTCGATGAAGGGGTGAAGACTCTGCAGTCCTTCGCACTGAAGGTAAGTGTCTTAGTTTTGCTCGCGCTTTATGCCATAGTCGACGATTTTTGTTGCTAACAAATGCTCGTGCTTTTCAGGTCTTAAGCGTTGCTCGAGGGATGTAGCTGCGGGATGAAGCTGACTCTCGAGAGATGGAGGAGCTCAGAAGGGCACTGGAGCTCCGTACTCGACGAGTAGCTAAGCTCGAGGTTGAGCGATACCAGAACCTGACAAAGATAACTGAGCTCAAGATCGGACTGCGGCAGGCATGGGACTAGATCGAGGTGGCCAAAGATGAAGCAGAGGAGGCG